ACGCTACAGATTACGTTGTGTAGTGATAAAATTAAAATCTCTGGATAATTTTTCTATTAGTTTTATTAATTTAGATGAACTTCAAAAAATGTAGTGCTTTGTTTTTTAACTGTACCTTTTAGGTTCTTTGTTCTGGGCACCTTAAATATGGTGAACTGCTTTGTTAAGTTTCTACGAAGAGAGAATAAATCATGGATACTTTTACAGAAATTGGACAAGTCAATGGGGATTAAAAGTCACAGTAGAAATTTCGGGAATGATCACTGATCTGGTCCTGGAAGTGTCGGGTGCTAGTTTAACCGTACTCTAGTACATATGCTGTTCATATAAGTATAAGCACTTGCAGGATGAGTGCACTAACGTATCTTGGTTTACTTGAGTAGATGTAAGATAAATGAATGAAATATTTGACTATACCACATGAGTGTCGTGTCAATGAAGAAATCCATTATCCTAGCTGCTCCAATTGAACTTACACAGTTGTTTTCTTGAGCTTTTAGAACTGCATATTTTAGTTGCATGTTATAGTCCTACTGTGGAAAGTTTAAAAATTTTAAGTGGATAAAAAACAATTTTGGAATACTCCTGGTTATTTCATGGAATAATGGACATCATAGTTGTAAAGGCTAGGTTCTGTTTTGGAAATAGACTGTTACTTAGATATGCCAATTGACATTGACCGTTGAGATTCTGTAAGTTAAAAGATTTCGTTAAAGAAGACACTGAAAGCTAGGGAAGCCAGAAATAAGCCAAATTAAAATGCAAAGTTGAAGGGGGGCTTTAATGGTTGATGGTGAGGAAAGATGTTTTTAGCGGGTAACTGCATGGGATGGTTTGTTAAATTCCTCACGTCATCAGAGATAGAATAAGAGAGAGAATCTTCATTGAAATTAAGGCTCTTGCACTGGGTTAGTGCACTGACAAGTTTGTCATTTAAAGCCTTATGAGTGCTCTTTTCTTGGAGTGGATTCAGATTGGTCATTTTCTGCGCCTGCCAGGTTTGTGAAGGTGAAAGAGGGGAGGCGATGATGCTGTTAGTATCATTTCAAGGCATGCGCGGAAATTAAATCAGTGCAATTTCTGCAAACTGCCTTTTGGTAAGGCCCTAAGGGTTATCTAGTTGATCCAAAGGTGGGGAGAGGGAATTGGCTGTAATCGGGCATTGTAAATTGTTTTGTAGAAACTGATGCTTTCGACCTTATATCAGTCTTCAAATATAGCATAGTATTCAGATGTCAGTATTCCACTATGATTTGTTCTCCAACTTTTGATTATTTTGAGATTCATTAACTTTTTTAAATTATTACCCTAAAAATTTTCTGGGGGCCAAAAAAACTCAAAAGTCTTATTGATTTGTTGTGCATGTATTGTCCTCTCATTTTCTTGTTATCAAATGTAAATTTCTTTATGTTATATATTGCAATCAAGTCATTCTTAGTAGTTTGTGTAGAAAGATGGAGGTAGCTTGATTTGAATGGTGGTGCGATCTCAATATAAGCTTTATATATGGCAATAATGTGGACATTTTTTTGTTTTTCAGTTATTTTTCTTGTTGCATAATGTCTAAATATGATTACTTTTTGTTCCTGTTCTCCCCCTCCTTTGTTCAGCACCTGCTCTCATCTTCAATGGACAAAACCGTGCGCCTCTGGCACTTGGCTAGCAAGACTTGCCTGAAGATATTTTCACATAGTGACTATGGTAAATATATTTGGTCTGTATTTCAACTTTGCTCTACAATTGTGGTTGGCTTCTACTTGAACAACTGTTGTATATAAAGGGGTTAATTTGCACACATCTTATATCAGGGGTTATAAAAGCACCAACAAGTCAAGTACATACCTTTGATATCAGGAAAAGGATAGTTTATGAATCTTAAAAAAAGTAAGATCTAAATGAGTCGAGTATGACTATTTGATTCTTGGCTCAAGTGTAAGGGGTTGGAAGGGGGGATTTGTTAGATCCTAGGTTCAGATCTTGCAAGTAATTTTGTTTAATATTAGTGTCTGAATTCTTATAATATGATATTTTTAACCTTTTTCTGAAAGATGTAATAAATGTACAAGTGATATGGATATTATCACCCATCACCGGTCATTTGTTTCTAAAAACTTTATTTTGCTTGAACCTTGATGCAGTAACTTGTATCCAGTTCAACCCTGTTGATGATAGGTACTTCATTAGTGGGTCACTTGATGCCAAGGTTCGCATTTGGAGTATCCCTGATCGTCAAGTGGTTGATTGGAATGATCTGCATGAGATGGTCACTGCTGCTTGCTACACTCCTGATGGTCAGGTTGGGCTCAAACTTTCGTTATTGTTGATATGTATTGTGTTAGTATTGTTCGTAGCTTAATAAACTTTTGTTCATATCTGAAGGGCGCCCTAGTTGGTTCATACAAAGGTAGCTGCCGTTTATACAACACATCTGGTACAATTCTCTCTCTCTCTCTCTCTCTCTCTCTCTCTCTCTCTCTCTCTCTCTCCATGACATCCATGTGCATGCAGCTAATGAATTTTTCCAAAATTGCCAGAGAACAAGTTGCAACAGAAAAGCCAAATTAATTTGCAGAACAAGAAAAAGAAATCCCATCACAAGAAAATTACAGGTTTTCAGGTAACGAGTTGGCTTGATTTGCTTTGCTTCTGTGTAGATGATACTTTTAGCGATGAAATTGGGAGATAAACCTTATTCCTTTATACCATTATAACGTAGGGGCCGTTTTCCCTTCTTGTAATTTTTATCCTTTGATTACTTTGAGCTGCAAGATTGTTGGATTCGTTACTGTTGCTGACTAGTTTTGCTTGACAGTTTGCACCAGGAAGTTCATCAGAAGTATTGATTACATCTGCAGATTCACGAATCAGAGTTGTTGACGGTGTTGATCTGGTTCACAAGTTCAAGGGTAAGCGCATATGTTCTATGATTTTCTTTATATGTTAATTTTTCGATTTCAAATTCAATTCATGAATTTTGTCATTTAAATTCAATATAGTTGATCAAGATGATGGTAGTACTATATGTTATAAATTAACTGTCAAGCTTATAACAGTTTCATTCTAGCTTACTTCATTCCAGCAGGTTTGATGTTCTCATAAGATTGCAAAACATAAGCTCTTAGATTTGTTACCCAAGTTTATGTTAGCATTAAGATGTGTTTTCTGGGCAATAATTTGATGATAATGCTGTCTTCTAGATCCGTTAAGATGTGTTTTTTTGACAGGATTTCGGAACGCAAATAGCCAAATCTCAGCTGCCCTCACAGCAAATGGTAGATATGTGGTATCTGCTAGTGAGGATTCTCATGTATATATATGGAAACATGAAGCTGATTCCCGCCCTAGCAGAAGCAAAAGTGTCACAGTCACACGCTCCTATGAGCATTTCCATTGTCAAGATGTATCAGTGGCCATCCCTTGGCCTGGAATGGCTGATTTCTGGGGTTTACAAGATTCAGAACGGAATGGTCCTGACGAGGTTTCCACAGAAAATCACCCCCCTACACCTGTTGAGGCGGCTAATTCCAACAACGATGGTTCACGATCAGCATCTGGTTGCACCAGTAGCCCTCTCCACGGAACAATTTCAAGTGCATCCAACAGTTACTTCTTTGATAGAATTTCGGCAACATGGCCGGAGGAAAAACTTCTTCTAGCTACCAGGAACCGAAGCCCACGTGTTAGTTTTGATTTCACCAACGGGTTAAGCCAAAACATGTCAGCCTGGGGTATGGTGATTGTAACTGCCGGCCTTCGAGGTGAAATTAGAACTTTCCTAAATTTTGGGTTGCCGATTCGGATCTAAGGGGGCCAAATAAATGGAACCGTAGATCATGGGGGGAAGATGAGTTGATAATTCTGCAAGGAGCCAGTCCATTTTTCCCTTTTGGCAAAATGTGTACAGAGAGAGAATTTGGTGAGATCTTAGAGCGTTCCAATTGTTTCCTTGTGCTTGTGCCCGTCGGACGTGGACTTCAGTAGGAGGGCCAGTCTGACCGGGCAACAAGAAAGAAAAATAGATATGTCGAAAAAGAAAAAACAAAAAACTACACCGCGAATTTAGCATCCGATGAATTTCTGTAGTCGGAAAATTGTAGAGTTATGAGATGGGAAAAGCTTATTGAATTTAGAAATGAAAATTCTTTTACATTTTATTTGCTCGGATCTTGATTTCTCTATCTTCCCAGTGTTGATAGTTCTAGACCTATAACATTCTTGCATTCCAAGTAATCAAAGAAATTTAGATCTCTTTATCATCAGATTCCTCACAGAGGCAAACAGAACCGCTAATGGGCCATTGTTTAACTTGGGTCAGAGTCCAACTACAACCATAGGCCCAAGTCCTTAGGTTAGCCAACTTTAGGCCCACATTGTCTGCCAAAAGTCCCCACAAAAAGTGGGCCCACACTCCTCCAACTTGTCATAATATCCTAAAAATCCAGAAATTTCACCCAGAATCCAAAGCAAAACTTGTGGCAGGGGGATGTCAGTCAGACTTGTGGTTAGATAGAAATTCAAATGTTTCTGTAAGTTTTTTCGGTTCTTGAAAGAAGTAGATAACCGTAGATTGCTACCAGTTGTCTCTGTAAATATCTTTTCTTATAATCCCATGTTTAGGAAAAGAAGGAAGTAAATTTGAGTAATTTCTCTGTATTCGGAACACGGTCATACGTAGTTACTATTTCACTTGATTCGTAACATGTCAATAGGGTTTAAAGTTAATCTTTCGTAGATTGTGACCTATCAACCTTATCGTAGACGCATACCTTTATTATAATACATGAAATAATACTTCACGTGATTTGTGTTTCTGGTAAACGTTAATTTTTTCCGAAAAGAAAGATATAAAACAAATATCAAAAGGAAATCCAGTCCTCACAACCTCATTGGTTGCTTGAAATCGATGTGGCAAACTCACATGCTGCTAATTATCTTATCCTCTTTGCCCACTGTATATCCGAAGTGTGCCAAAACGACTATATTTAATACAAACTGGTTGTCTCCTTTTCAAAGTAGTTGAGCACCCACCACCTCTCACTCTCCTCTTCCTCACTCACTCACCTGTGAGAAACATCAGAGAAAACCTAACTAAAAAAATCTAAGAATTAATGGCTCTTCAGGCTGCTTCTGTGGTTTCTTCTGCTTTCTCTGTCCCCAAAGAGGTTCGTTTTTTATCGGTTTCTTTGTTGCACTCCGAAGAGCTAATATCGCCTAATCCTAGTTTCTTTATTCCAAGAAACGTTTCTTCTCGTTGTTATCGACCAAGAGGCTAATGGGGTTTGATTTGATTTATTTTCTTGGAATTTTGTTTTTTCTCAGGGAAAGTCAGGTGCTTCTTTCAAGGATTCGAGTCTGTTCGGAGTATCTTTCTCGGAAAATCTCAAGGCGGAGTTCAGCTCTGTTGCATTAAGCTGCAAGGTAGGAAATACTACCATGTGTTTCTTCTGCAGAACACAAAATGTGTTTCTTCTTGTAGCAAAAACAAAAACAGACTTAGAATTATACGAATAGAGCATGCTATAGTGCAATTAGTTAAAAAACACTTCTGCTTATAAGCGCTTTTAGCAGAAGCACTTCAAATTTTAGTAAAAACCCAAGTGCTATCACAACCGATAATCACTTTAAATTGTTTCTGTTAAGACTTTTAGTCACTCTGGAAGCACTTCCAAACGTGCTATTTTGATTACAGAGAGAATTCAAGGCAGTGAGAGCCCAGACAACAGCAACAGAAAGCTCAGCAATCAATAAGGGAACATCAGAGGGGAAGAAGACTCTAAGAAAGGGCAGTGTGATTGTCACCGGTGCCTCCTCCGGACTCGGTCTAGCAACGGCCAAGTCTTTAGCCGAATCCGGAAAATGGCATGTAATTATGGCCTGCAGGGATTTCCTCAAGACTGAAAGAGCTGCCAAGGCAGCTGGCATGCCCAAGGAAAATTACACCATTATGCATCTAGACCTCGCTTCGCTCGACAGCGTGCGCCAATTTGTTGATAACTTCAGGCGTTCTGAGAGGCCTCTTGATGTGCTTGTGTGTAATGCTGCTGTTTATCAGCCAACCGCTAAAGAACCTTCATTCACTGCTGAGGGATTCGAACTCAGTGTTGGGACTAACCATCTCGGACACTTCCTTCTTTCGCGGTTGCTGCTGGAAGATTTGAACAAATCCGACTACCCATCAAAGAGACTCATCATTGTTGGCTCAATTACAGGTACTTGATTTAAATGAAGCATGTTCTTCCAAAAATATGTGCTGTTCTTTGTAGAATGTGTGATAAAGTTTGTGTTGTTGCTTTTCAGGGAACACGAACACCTTAGCCGGAAATGTACCTCCAAGGGCCAACCTCGGGGACTTGAGGGGACTTGCAGGAGGCTTAAACGGTCTAAACAGCTCAGCCATGATCGACGGTGGAGACTTTGACGGTGCCAAGGCCTACAAGGACAGCAAAGTCTGCAACATGCTCACAATGCAAGAGTTCCACAGGCGCTATCATGAGGAAACCGGGATAACATTTGCTTCCCTTTACCCAGGCTGCATTGCCACGACCGGTTTGTTCAGGGAGCACATTCCCTTGTTCAGGCTTCTCTTCCCTCCATTCCAAAAGTACATCACCAAGGGCTACGTCTCAGAAGATGAAGCCGGAAAGAGACTTGCTCAGGTAAGAACTTGTGCTTGACAATGGTGCATTCTGTTTTTCGATCTCTCTTGTGCATGAACTCATTTGCTTGCTGCTGATCACTCTCAGGTTGTGAGCGACCCAAGCTTGACAAAGTCGGGAGTCTACTGGAGCTGGAACAAGAATTCGGCTTCCTTCGAGAACCAACTGTCCCAAGAAGCTAGTGACGTGGAGAAGGCTCGCAAGGTGTGGGAAGTCAGTGAGAAGCTTGTGGGTTTGGCCTAAGTATAGAAGCTTGATGTTCTTGTCGACCAGCATTTTGCCTCGGAGGAGGAGGATGTCGCCCGAGATCAGGTCCATTTGTGGAGTGCAGAATTTGAAATTAAAGCTGTACTGTCATAGACAATTTTCTCATGTGGATGAATAGTGTTAATAACAAATGAGAATAAAAGCACTCACCTCTGTTGCAAAATGCAGATCATACTTCTTGTTACAAGTTTAACATTTTACTCTTACTTACTTCAAATATTTACAAAACGAAAGTTTCAGAATGTCGTAAAGAAGTAAACATCAACCATTTACTTCTAGCTTTTTACATGGCTAGTAACTTAAAGCTCATAAGCAGGAAACCGTGCTTCACACGGTTCAGTCATGTCCAGAAGGAGATGAGCCATTCCACCAACACCTTCGAATAGAGAATAAGGCCGATCACCTCCATGCATCGTACCCTCTGATATGAGTCTTAAGGCTCTATCATGTAAAAAGCAAGCAAATACTTTGGCCCTGTACAAGTATTCCACCTTACCCGTTAACCGGTAGAGTGAAAGAAACACATAGGTGTTCCCACTGATGCCATGACAAATGCCAACTCGCTTCAGCAGACCCCGGTTCCACACCACCTCCCCTGCATCTATAGCAGCTTGCAGGAACTCTTGATCTCCGAAAACCTAATGAAATCAATAGACTAATGAGTAAGCTGCATTGAAAATTCACCATATGTATTATTAAGTTGAAGAAGGTATCCAGCGCATATAACCATAAAACAAAAAAGATCGCATGTTTTGGACTGCAAATCATGTCCATGAAAGCAATAAATTGACGTAGCTTCTTATCCACTAAAAGAAAAACGTATTTTACTAAAGTCACCAACAGAATCTGTTGGCAATATACCAACCATTTTCAACTCATTTTGTATCATTTCCATTTTCAATAACATCGACAACAAAAGAACAAATCTGTAGATCCAAAAGTAAAGTGAGAGTTTCTCAAGTCATTTTGCTATGCAGCACCCCAAACCACTAAAGGAGAATAAATAAATAGATAAATAATCCTTTCCAGTCTCATAATAATTATTGCAAAATCAGTTATTCACCTCTAATTTACCACAAAACTACAATATCCAAATTTTGTCCGACAAGTTTTCGTAAGAAATAAGTCAGATTATAATTACCTCAGCTGCTCTCAGAAGTGTAAGAGCAACTCCTGGAGCACCATGGCACCAGTGCACAAGACGGTCTGATTCACTTCCTTCACTTGAAGGAAAGTTGCCGCTTGGAAAACGATTCTTAATCATGTAACGTAGAGTACCTTTGACATCCTCCACCTCATCAGGTTTCAGTTCCGTGCTCATCAAAACATACATAATACCTGCTAATCCATGGGCAGCACCCCAGTATTTCTTTCCATGCCACTCGTACATCAATGAGCTTCGTCCCTTCTTGGCCAATTGTCTACCAGCCTTGATAATTTCATCCACAACTGATCTCTACACAAATTGATTGGGGAATAAATGGATAATCAATTCAGTCCATTTAAGACCGATCTGAAGAATAGTTTAAGCACAAATGTCTTACCATGCGAGTAGTAGAAATTGTCCCATTTCCAATATGCTTGTTCAAAAAGGAACAGGCCCATAAGAACCCAGCTCTCCCGTATAATAACTCATTTGGAAGATCACTAGACAGCTTGATCTGCTCGTAGAGCAAAATAGAATGTCAAGAGAGGCAAACATACAAAGGGCAACTCTCAAGAAGAACAAGTCTTAAGCGCAGGAAGCAAGTGATACTATCAACCACCTCTTTGAATTTTGATATGTAGCGGTCAAGTAACATTTTATCACCATTATGCTTTGCAACAACAGCACCAAGGGCACAGACACCAGCCCGCCCACATATGAATGACACACGCCTGCAAGCCCATGCAGCACATAACAAGGCTATGAAGTCAAATTACTCAATTCCCCAAAGGCTAAGCCAGAACTGAAACAACATAAGGTAGTTGTACAAGCACACAACTATTACCCATGGTCGGTAAGCTACGTTAAACAGCAATTAGAAGTATCACTTTCTACATGTTCTTAAACTTTAAAACTGATACCGATCCAAATTTGGTGAAAAGAGTTCTTTCTACCAACACATATATTAGGTCTGATATTTCCAACGCATCTGACATTCAAATAACAGTTTCAGTTGAGATTACATGCTTGTGTCCAAAGAGAAGCTAACAAGGATTGAACCAATAACTGAGCACAGGTTTTAATCCGATTTTAAAGTTACCACTGACTTACTAAGCTACTGAAGAAATCAGAGAGATGAAGAAGACTATCTTAATAAGTGAAAGAATTACTGATACAATCGACATGAGGCATTGAGGCCGCAACTTCTATCCACCTCAGTCAAACGAATTTAACAGAAATCTAACAACTCCAACATAAAAACAATAAGCTCACAGCTAACTAGTTGAGCTATGATTTGGTACTGCTTCTAAGAGGGCAAGTTAGCACACCGAGCGAGGTGCAAAATTTCAGCCACCGAAGCAAACCAACAACTGAAACACAGACATTGTTTATCGACAGTTTGCATTTCAAACTCGGCAAACTAAAAAAAAAAAATCCAGACCAAACTCAGCTTCACAACAACTAAAAGAGCCAAAATTCCCTCTACATATTTCACAAACAAGCAATTCAAATGAGCACGCATCATTGCGTGTGTCTACGGAGTGAGACAAACATAGAGAGAGTACCTGGAACCCGTAGAAGCAGAATCACATGCCTTAACAATCTCAGAGCACAATTTAAGATCGCTCTCATTCTTTGTAACTTGGTAAGCCTTGAAGGCCAAGAAAGCAGTCCCAAGAGCCCCTGTGTACAAACTATAATCTTCCACACGCTTTCCACCCAAACTGCACGTCTGCCTCACGACCTACAACCCCAACAAACACAAAACCCAAACCAAATCGCTTACAAAAAAAGTACTTCTCGATACATAAATATACAAAAACCCCAAATTTATTTATAATAATAATAATAATAAGAATAAATAAATAAATAAAACAGATCCTTCATGGTTGGAGCCTCTAAAATCTCCAATTACCAACAACCCACAAACCCAAAACCCATAATTCGCATGTGGGGTTCTCTAAAATCACAAACTAGACAACAATTATGCCAGAAATTGAGTGAAATTAATCATCTTTTGTGAGTACCGTTTCTTTGAGGTCCAAAGCGGAGCTCTTGAGTATGTCGGAGAGTGTTCTGTAAGGAAGGTGGAAGAGGTTTGTTAGCGAGTCTTTGGGGCTTTCGGACGCTGCCGCGTCCGGTGGTGGCTCTGCCAAGAAGTCTGGCATTTCGTTCGGGAAAAATCGGTCGGCCATTTCTCTCTCCGCGCACACAAACGAGAGTGAGAAGTCACGTTACTCTGTTTACTCGGGTTCACTGCATCCGGTGTAAAGCGGCGATGGAGCCCTCTCGAACTAGTAACACGTGTTTAAGCTGCCGCTTTTTAGGATGTAGGATTCTTTCTTTCCTATTTTCACTCTCTTCTCTCTCTTCCTCTCCCACTTTACCTTTTATTTTATTATCTTTATAAAAATATAAAAAATTAATATAAAATATTAACGTTAACCGTAATCATTTAAGTAAAAATGAAGAGAAGAATAGAGATAATAGCAGAGTAGAGATCCCATCCACTGCTTTGTTCGCGTTTGGTTCGCGGTTGTTCTGGGACCTTCTGATTCTGGGACAATGGCTGGCTTTTGTTTTCAGCTAGAATTCTTGGTTTAAGTTTTTATTTTTTATTTTATACAAATGGTAGATTATAAATTGTTAAATACTATGGGAGACGGGGATAGATACAGATTGAATTCGCACTAAAACATATAAGCATTATTTTTTTCTGTCTTTGTGATAAACCATCGTCCGAGAACAATTGGTTTAAGTTGGGGACTAGGGATTTACTATGCCAAAAATGTACATAGAGCCTAAAACAAGTGTAGATAATAATAATTAATTGGAAAAGTAAGGCTCACTAATTCTTGATTTAATGGTGTATTAGAAAACGTGTTAACATGATGCTACGGGTTTTAAAATTGTACAAAATATATTGAATGACACGCCCGATCTTGATATCCTCTAAACACCAAGGTAGGCAAGTGCTGGCCAACACCTGAAGGTGATGAAACCATACTAACATGCATGCGAACTAAAGAAAGAACGAACATAAATAAAACCCGTAAATTTAATTATAATGAATATGTAATTGTGGAACGTGTTCAGAGCATATAACTAATTCGAGACACTAAAGAGGTATAATATAAAATTGAATGAACAAAAGGGATGGGTCCTACACCGAGAGGACTCAAAGATGTAGATGTGGGACTGTCTTGATGCCAGGATTGTTCGCCTCGATTCTAAGTCTTGAGGGGGCGTGAAACAAAACATGAGTGGACCAAGTTTATATGTATAAGTAATACTAAAACAGTTAATTCCACAACATACTATCCCCCAAAGTTTATGAAAACTCAATAGCGTAATATGTAATAGGTTTTTCGAAAACCCTAGCATGCCATAAAACTTCATAAAACATATATTATATATAAGTAGCGGTAGCACAAAGGTGTGTGTATATATATATTATATTTATCTTCATTCGTCCGAAGGCACTACATCTCTCGTCCGTAGGCAATATATAAATATCTTCCGGCCAAAGCCACCAACCTAGGCTCGGCCGAAGCCATATATAAGTATCTTCCAACCGAAGCCACCAACCTACACCCAGCTGAAGCCAATATACAAGTATCATTCGCCTGTAGGCAGGACATTCGCCCATAGGCAGTACATTTGCCCGTAAGCAGGACATTTGGAGTAACCACTAAATAAGCACCTAAAAACATTAACATAATATTTCTAATATATATATATATATATATCTCAAATGGAGCTCAGTAGCTAAAACGTCATATTGTAAATCAAGTTCAAAGTATATAATTATAAATTATCTATACTTCAAAGAACGTAAATCTGATAAAGCATAATATATCATAAAGTGTAAATCCAATTTATTCATAAACGTTTCATAAAACGTAACCAACAAATCATGCTTTTCATGTATGCATTTCTAATAGTAAAATATGCATTTTAGAAGGGGTCTACTCACAAATACTTTGCCATCGAAGAGCCGTGTAAACTAGAGAAGACGGAAATGCCATAAACAATTGCACCTAAGTACATCAAGGTACCAATTAATAAAACTTTACTAAAACGGTTGAATTTGGGCAAACAAACATTGTACACCAATTCAGGACGTCAAAAAACACAAAGGGGACCTTGGGGTACCCCCACGCGCCTCCGTGGACGATAGCGGAGCACAATACCTCCGGTGGAGGCGCGTGTGCTCTACGCGTCAACCAAGACATGCGTCCATGTGCAGGCAAACGCGCTGGCCAGGGTTTTGGGATGGGCTGGTTTCTAGGTTTGGGCCTGAGACAATTGTGTTGGGCCAAAGGTTGCGTTAAGCTTAGGTTGTCATATGGGTTGGGTCTCAAAGTTGGGCTGGGTTACCCCTTGGGTTTGGATTTGGGTTTGAGGGTTATCGGGTCGAGTCAACCGGGTTTCAAGCCATGGTTTGGCCAGTTTATGGGCAAGGTTTCAAACGCTCATAACTTCCTCAATACTCAACCAAATAGAGTGATTCAAAAACCAAAGTTGTAGTACTTAGTGAGATGAAGAGAATAGTACATTGCACGATGACTAACTTGCCGCGATTTGGCCAGAAAAAGGTCTGAAACCCATAGGTTCTTGCCAAAATCTACGGAAGTCTCCCCGAGTCGGTTTCTTGATGTTTCAACGTCCACAATACACAAAAACGATAAAAAATGAAATGTGAGGATGAAAGGGGAAGGTTTAGGGTGTTTTTCGTAGCTCACCTACGTCGGAGGTGTTGGAAACTCGCCAAGTTTCCTTCGTGAACAGTGGCCTCTACCACGATCGAGTTCCCAGGTTCTTTGTCCGGGGTTCATGGTGACGAGGTTGAGGTGGTGGTGAGTTAGGGACCTCGCCGAGGCTGTGGTGATCTTCCCATGGCACCATTTCGGTGCTTGCTGAGGGAAAAGGAGAGAAGTGAGAGTGAGAGGGAGATAGGTGAGAAAGAGAAACCTTACGAGGAGAGAAGAGAGAAGAGATAGAGAGATGAGGGATTTGGGCCAGGGGACAAAATCAAGGATGGGCCCTCCTTGGGCACACCAATTAAGGCCAAAAGTATAATTTCAAAAATCAAATATCCCAAAAGCAACAAAACAAAATACATTTCAAACGTGAAATGACCAAATTGCCCTTGTTCCAAAATCCGTAAAAGTATTCAGGACAGGTTGTTACATTGAAAGTATTATATATGTACCATAGGCAACACTATTCACGTACATGAGGAAGTTTATTACAATTCTATCTACAATAAGGAACAAAATAAGTGTCCAAGGCAAGGTTCAAAGCATTTGCAAGTTTAGATCACTGTTAATTATAGAGTGCCACTAGTAGCTCCTTTCTTCCTCCCCTATATTTAGGAGCTCCTGGGTAAATCCCTATCTTAGGAGGTGGATATGGAGCATGATTAAGGTTGATTTTTTGAATCCTCCAATCGTAAGGAACTCATTTGGCCCATTGGAGATGCTCTTATTCATGTAATTCACTAGAAATGGTTTATAGTTCAAATGATTGATAACGTCTATTTTGATCCCTACATCTGATATCCTATGTTTGAGTCTTCTACCCCAATACAGCTACAGCGTACAATAAAAAAAATTATGATGCAGTGTACCAACGATACTACGTTCTAATAATATTTATCACTATTATAAGTAAAAATTTATTAAATCAAATCTCATAAGTAGCGAGTCCAATACGTAACTATAGTTGGTTGTATAACGGCTCAACACAAATCCCCACCCCAACATCTTTATATAAAAAAAATTCTCATAACGAAACACATGTCAACTTATTCTAACAGCTAGATTACTATACACAAAGTTCATCTTTTATTACTCTAAAAAAAAATTTGTAGCTCAAATAATTAAGAGTCTATCTTGACGAAAATTTACAGGATAACATTTCTCGAAGCAAGATGCTTGGGCTTGAGATGCCCAACAAAATTAGCAAAACAAGTTTGGGCCAGGCCACAAAAGTTGAGGGTGAACCAAAGATTGTTGGATCCGGAAAAGTAACCCAAGCCCAAAACACAAAACATTACTTACCCGCCCGCACGCCGTTGCCTCTCCCTGCTCACTGGTCAACATCGTTTTAAACCCTAAACCCTAGTGCTCTCGTTTGCAGAAGCCTCCCGGAGCCCCCGAATCTCTCTGGTAAGAAATCGCTCGCCCAAAACCCTAATTAGGTTTCCATTCGACACACATGCTTGCTTATATTTATGACTAACTCTAATTTTTGTATGGAAGATTAAATTTTTCCAGCAAAAATAATGGGGAAGAAGAGAAAGCACAGCGATGCCCTGGCTCCAGAAAAGAAGGAGGAGGCGGTTGCGCCGGAGAGGCCGAAGCGAACGCTTTCCGGTTGGAAGGAGAAGAAGGATGACGACGAAGTAAAAGCGAGTGAATCGACGGCAGTGTTTAGGAACAAAGAAAAGGTCTTGGTTACTTGTTCTCGTCGCATTAGTTACAGGTAAAATTATTCAAGTTCCAATTTTTTCTCTGCTTTGAGCTCGCTCGCTCGGTGTTGTTTTTATTCGAAACCCGAAAGATTTTTTTTGAAACTAACTGTGAACTGATTGGAAGTTGATTGAAAACTGAAAAGTAGTAGTGAGGTAGCGTATGATGGGTAATTGGGTATGCTATCTTATCTGTTATCAAATTTAGAAATGGTTGGGGATATTGAACTGTTCATGCGCATCCGAAAACAACGAGGGTTTCTGTAATAATTGTAAAGATGTGATCTGTAGATGAATTTTGGTAACTATTTTTCGTTTATATGATATATTCGTCTATGAATTTGTTTACGAGTATATATACTAGCGTGTGAGTGTATAAATGTATAAATTTTATATAATTATATAAATGGTTATAAATTATATACGCAGGTATCGGCATCTGATGTTGAATGTGGTGGACCTATTGCCTCATTGTAAGAAGGACAATAAGGTGGAGTCTAAATCAAGTAACGGCGCAACGCTTAACGAGCTGGTTGAGCTAAAGAGTTGCTCTTCCTGTATGTTTTTTGAGGTCAGGTTTTTTTGTTGTTTCTTTCTGACCTTGTTTAGCACTTGATGTTCAATATTACTTTAATGCTATGTTTCAATTTAATTATTAAATTGGTAGTTTGTTGATTTTAATCTTTGTCATCGTTTACATATTTATGGTTATTTGTTACCATTGGTTAAGGATATGATTGATCTGTTTGTGTTAAGTTGCATGATTTTTTAATTGAGTGGTTGAGGTTAGGACATATTGGTTGTTTGAGAGAGGGATAATAGCAAATTCAGGTTACTTGTTTTCTGTGTGCTGATGCGTACTTTATTTTGGGGGGTCTCTGATTACAGTGCAGGAAAGGGAAAGATCTGTATCTGTGGATGTCAAAGTGTCCCAATGGGCCATCTGTGAAGTTCTTAGTAAATGCTGGTAATGTTTCTGTTTTATTTATGTGCTTTTCATGAAGGATTGGCTTATCTCAATGGGGTTAAGTTTTTTCGAAAAAATTCTGATCAAAGAAAATTGTTTTGTGATTTGTAGTGCACACGATGGAGGAGTTGAAGCTTACTGGAAATCATCTAAAGGGGTCACGACCTATTTTGACTTTTTCATCCAATTTTGATAAAGATGCCCACTGGAAGCTTCTGAAGGAGATGATCACTCAGGCATGTTCATTTTGTTTCCTCTTTTATGTAGTTGTAAACAATTTCCTGTTCATGCCCTGCTTGATTCTTGTGATCAGTTTGCATTGTTGATTTAGATATTTTTGAACTTTGTGCTACAACATATGTTATTCTGTTTCTTATTAACTTTCGTTCTCAGATATTTGGCATTCCCAAGGAGCACAGAAAATCTAAACCCTATCATGATCATGTCTTTGTATTCTCTATCATTGATGACCACATTTGGTTCCGAAACTATCAGGTACTAGTTTTTTAATTTATAGTATTTGTTGAACATAGTTGTGATATGACTTACATCGTTTCATTTAATATTAGAATTGATTTTAGGGGGTAAGCTTTCTGCTCAAAAATATAAATTTTGATGGCTTTAAATTTTTTAAAGTTTAGATGCCAGTGTTACCCTTGTGCTGGCAGTGTAGATGCTCAATAAAAGCAAGTGTGTTTCATGTATGATGTTATACTTCTAGAACTTTTCATTTGCACCATACTATAACTGTAACATTGTTTTCTCCACTTTGGATGCTGTATTATTTACCAATCATTCATGAATGTATTAAGAGTTTGATAGTTTTCTTTAGATTCCAGCTCATTTGTCAAAATTGTTTGCGTCTCTTTGCAATATCGCTGCCTTTTAGTAGCCATCTGAAAATAACAGTTATTCAAATCCCAGAAATTAAGTGTTTTTTGGTCAAGGATTAGTTACCAATTTGGCTTCGAAGAATTGGAAGGTATGTAGACATCACCCTTTAAATTGGTTTGTTTCACTTTTATGGGATATCCCAATATTCTCAACAAGTAGTCAAAAGAGTTAATAAGTGGATGGGGGGGATGGGGGAGGAATAGGAAGGGGGGATGAAGGAATATTATGATAGTTTATCTTTTTGGCGGATATCTTTTTAATGGATGGCTGACCAATAACAGCCCTATGAATTTAGATTGGTGGCCATTGGCAGTCCCAATTGTACTCAACACCCCCACCCCCACCACCCACCAAATACCACATTTTTCAAGCCATCCCCCATCCTTCCCATAATACCCCTAAATCCCATCCTAATCTGTTTATTTTGCTTTGAATGGAAATGAGTCCATGGTATAAATTTTCTTTCAGGGCTGGTGTCACATCCTGGCAGGGGGGGATCACTTCCCGGGCCCGCTCCACCACTGTAGCACGATATTGTCCGCTTTGGGCCCCGACCACGCCCTCACCATTTTGTTTCTAGGAACTCACACGAAAACTTTCCAGTGGATCACCCATCATGGGATTGCTCTAGCCCCCTTCTCGCTTAACTTCGGAGTTCCTACGGAATCCGAAGCTAGTGAGCTCCCAAAAGGCCTTGTGCTAGGTAGGGATGAGAATATACATATAAGGATCAATCCCTTGGGCGATGTGTGATGTCACAATCCACCACCCTTAGGGGCCCGACGTCCTCGTCGGCACACATGCGACCAGTGTTAGGCTTTGATACCAATTTGTAACATCCCGGTCCGGGGCGGATCACTTTCAGGGCCCGCTCCACCACCGTAGCACGATATTGTCCGCTTTGGGCTCCGACCACGCCCTCACGATTTTGTTTGTAGGAACTCACACGAGTTAGGCTCTGATACCAATTTGTCACATCCCGACCCGGGCGGGACCACTTTCGAGCCCGACTCCACTGTAGCACAATATTGTCCGCTTTGGGCCCCCAGCACACCCTCACGGTTTTGTTTTTGGGAACTCACACAAGAACTTCCCAATGGGTCACCCATCCTGGGAACGCTCTCGCGCGCTACTTGCTTAACTTCGGAGTTCCTACGGAACCCAAAGCCAATGAGCTCCCAAAAGGTCTCGTACTAGGTAGGGATGAGAATATACATATAAGGATCACTCCCCTGGGCGATGTGGGATGTCACAGCCAGTCACTAGCCTTCCTTGGGAACCCTTGGAGGCTAAATTTGGCTTCTTGTGTGAAGCCAGTTAAGGGAACCTAAGGCACAGCCTCTGTTTATCTTTTGGCTCTTTAAAAGTGAAGTGTGGTTGGGAAGTGCACGATGAGTGCTGACAATAGTGTCAACCTAAGTTTCTTGTAAAACAGTGATGAAGCTAAGCTAAAGTATATATAATAATGCTACGTGAATTTTTTAAATGACCACCGTAGTTTTCTGGAGGCATAATGTATCTCAAAATTAGTGTTTTTCTGGAGGCATAATGCATATCAAAATTAGGTTGTGCAGCTTCTGCAATAGAAAAGGATTATAAAAGAACATATGTCAAACCATCCATGTTCTAGAAACAGTGTGGTAGTATTTTCAAGTAACTTCTGAATTATGATTTGCCTAATATTATACTTCGTATGATTTTCTAGTACCATATTATGTTTGTGTCTATGCAGATGCACTATTTGTTTTCCATATATTTGTAAAAATGACATTGTTTCTAGAAAATATTGCTGCTTTTTATCTTGACCTTTTTTGCTTTTTAAATTGCAGATATCGGTTCCTCATAACGAATCGGATAAAATAGCTCGGGGAGGATTAGATAAAATGACCCTTGTTGAGGTTCGTAGTGGTGCTTTTCTCCTTAGTCTATATATTAGAGTATCTGCGACGTTTTAACTCTAACTGGTTGTATATATGTTGGACCGCAATGTTTCCTCCTTAGTCTATACCAGAGTATCTGTGATGACATTTTAACTCAGAGAACTGGTTGTATATAGGTTGGACCACGATTTTGTTTGAATCCTATCAAGATATTTGGTGGCAGCTTTGGAGGTCCAACACTATATGAGAATCCATTTTACATATCACCCAATCAGGTTAGATATACACACATAAAGCACCTTGAATTGTTGATTTCGTTATCTAATTATTTATGTGTTCATGGATGAGTATTGATCCTCGTGGCTAACGGTTTGTAAGGGAGTTTGTACTGACATACGAAAGAATGGTCTGTCCCGTTAAATCAAGCCGATAAATGACCCTAGATTTTAGTTCTGTGAGATTGTATTTTTTAAACGTTTGTTTTGAGGTTCTTGGTAAATCTAACCATGTACGATCATAACATCGTTTACTGATGGAATCATTTTGTGATGCATTCAGATTCGAGCATTGGAGAAAAAGAAGAAGGCTGGGACCTTTGTCAAGAAAGTCAAAGCAAAGACAAGGAGAAAAATGCATGAGCTTGAAAATCCACTGGAGCCTGATGAGTTTTCTGAGATGTGGAAGGAATGACATTTTTCGTACTACTAGAAATCAAAATTTAAAATTTTAAGTCATGTTGTATCGTTTAATCAAGAAGGCAGATTTTTTATTACAACTGCCCATGCTCTTTCAAATTCTGCCTGAACTTGATTACCTTATATGTGCATTTTGGATTTTTTTTAAACAATATTTTTGCAATTCAGCTAGACTAGAGAGAATAACTTCATCTTGTAACTTGGATTAGGATTTTTAATTCCGCCATTACAATTTCCGTTTTAAATTCAAAATTTCTTGAATCCGATTTTTTTAATCCCAACAATTTAAAATAAGTTGTACGTAAATTGGTTAATTTTAAAATTCGATCCGAACTTTTGTGAATTGTTCCAAATTTACAGTAATAAAAAGATTTCAGAATTGATTACAACTTACGTGCTTTTTAACAAGTTGCTTTCTAAAGAAGCATTTCCACATCAGGGCGTTCCAAATTTTATGTTGTTACCCATGTATGAATTATAACTTTGCTATTAGAGGTTCATAAGCAAAAGTAGTGCTTATGAGTGCTAGTGCTTCTAAGAAAAACATTTTCAAACTGGCCTCGAGTAAAATTTCACTTTTAGGTGATGCTTCAACTGAAAAAGAAAACTTTCATAAGCCAAGTGAAAACTTCAAGCTCCATGTATCTTAAGTTGAAAGGTAAAAACTTCTACAAGCTGAAATGGTAAAAAGTTGGAGGGACGAACGACTAAATAAGACCAAAGTTATACTTGAGCCATAGTGGTGAGTGACAAAGTAAGGCACCAATGACACTTTTCGTCCTAATGGGAGGCCCAATCAGTCCAGTTGACCTCACTTCCGACACGTGGAATGCTGTTGACCCTTGTGTATTTATCCACCTTGAAGTTAGCCCCACACATTGCCCCTTCACTATCAACCCTTGGCATTGCCTTCATCTTGTTCATTGGATGCTCAAAGCTCATCAATCCTCCCTCACTATGAAACATGCATCCTACACAACAATTGCTCAAAAATTACAAGTTAGAAATTATAACAAATGCAAGTATAGCGCCTAAATTATTGCAATTCGCTAAAACCTCGACCCTACTATATGTACAAGTAACATGGATCTCAAGTCAGATTCATTTTTTAAACAGAGGATCTCAAATGCAAGATAAAAGCGGTTAACAATTTGTTACAAATCCCGTGTAGACCTAAACGTAGTTTGGTTTACTATATAAGCAAAGCTTTTAGCATGAGGTACCTTTTGGGAAGGGAGCAAATGATTTAGCACAACCCTCTTTTATGACCTCCAATTCATCAGAAATTACCACAGATCCATCCGCTGCAATACCCCAATAGAGCTGCTCTCCACCATCAGAACCCTAAAATCACAGCATACAAAATCATCAAGTTCATATAAGATCCTTAATCGAATGATCCATTTAATTTTTCTAATTCAAAATTTCAAAAATCTTGCAGATAAAATTAAGGTAACTTAAAAAATGATTTTCGCAACTCTTGTTACTTTTGTTCAATAATTTTTCTCTAAATTATTCAATTCAAAGAGAAAAAGGATGTACGGGAATTATTTTCCTCACATAACGAGTGTAGGAGTCCATACCAGTGCGGCAAAGACATTGCCACCTTTGCTGTCATAGACAACAAAGGCAAAGCTTCCATCAAGATCTTTGACAACCTGATCAGCTGGGTACGGACCGCGATCTCGAAGGGTTCTATAAGCTTCAATCACAAACATGGCCTCATTCGTGCATTTTGTTAGACCATACTGCTTATTCAGTGAACACAGATTGTTCAAGCTCCCCAAAAACAAGCAGTATATGTCATCAAACCCACAGAACAACCTGAAATTTCACCAAACCCTAAAACATGTTAATTGCTTTGAAATTTTGAAAAAACAAGGTAATGGTAAAATTAATCAAGATTAACATATTATAATTTGATTTGATTGGAATATTTGTTAGCACTCCAAAACCCTAATCCTGTGACACGTGCAAGAAGTGAGTGTTAATAACAGCTCCTGAATCTGTTAGTTTACCTCGGGTGTTTTGAGTAAAAGCCTTGGTCTGGCTTGACGTAAGCAAGGACAGCAGCATGGCCAAATCCCATGGAGAAGGAGTTGTGAGGATGGTGGGAGAGGAAGTCTGTGAGAGTCTCTTCTGGGTGCTTAGGCTTCTTGCTTCCGTTGTAAGAGGCAGGACTGTTTAGCTCCTCCGGTGGATGAGCAAAAGCCTTGTGGAAAATGGCCAACATTTTTCCAGATCAAAACCAAATGCTAATACCTAGTTTCTGATCTTAATATTTTATTTCTGTTTTGTCACTTTTATAAGTGGGGTTTTTGGGATGCAGTGGATGCAATGAGTGAGGCTGGTGGCGGGTTTATATAGTAGTTGGGGCGTGGATATGATGGATAAGATTCTCGTACTTCTAGGTAGTCTTATCCTTTTCGGGTGGCGGTATTATATATACTTTTTAAACGACGATCATTCCGTAAGCAATCTTGACGTAATGATAAAACGTTTAAATGTAAATATCAACTTTATTAGGATAATACACGTCATCCATGTTTTATTAATCATAATTCTATGGTCTTGTTTGATGTTTAAGATTGGTCTGATTTTGACAACTCATCGATTTTTATGTACCTTGAGTTTAAATATAAGTGTTAATTTATATATATTTGTCCAAGTGAAATATACGTAATGTGACACTTATATTTTTATTCAACATTCATTAAATTTAGTAAATTGTTCAAATGGTACCAATTATATACATCAAACGAGCCTTATAATCATTATGTAATATTGATCGTATACCTGGATGACTATAGTATAACCTTAGTTTTTATTGTAATCCATGAAACTTAACATTTAACTGAGCACCATATGAAGTATGAAAATAATTAAAATTGATATGTTAAAATATTTTTTTATTTTTTTAGTTAAAATAAAGGTGGAATTTCTATATATAAAAGCTGTTTTGGCCCCCGTTGTTTGCAAACTTGCAATACCATGGGAGCAGTAGCTGCATAAGTTGACTTGTAGTAAGCAGAAACGAATATATTTTGGACGATTCTTTGAATTTAATAAGTTTTGAGATATTACTGTCTTCAGCTTTTCTTTTGTCTTTGATAAGGAATTGAGTTGCGTGAGAGCTTGGTAATTGTAAGGAGTATTTTGTTCCATCAACTCTCGAGCTACAATTTTCTAGCTGAAGTTCTTCAACAACATTATATAGTTTCCTTAAATTATGTTTAAAACAAACATTATCCACATAAGGTGCTTAAACAAATTTAGAAGAGAAAATCAGCTCTCATTGGTTTTTTGGGAGTTTTTAAGTTTTAAGTGCTAATTCTACTAAAAATTTTAGCTAAAATATCATATTTTAATCTAGGTACAATGGAAGGATCAACAAAAAAAATTCTAGTTGTATTATTATAATTCAAAATAATTACCAGATTGCTAGTCAATCCTATCATGTTTTCCGACTAGTTAACTTTTTCCAAAGATCGACCAATCAATTCTTTCTGCGACTGGATGATCAATTTTTTCGATCTAAAAGTGACTGCCCAACAGTGACTTTCAAAAAATACATGTACAGTGTTGATTTTTCTCATTCGTAATTTTTTTTTGTTTTTTGTTTTTTTTGTATATATATGTGAAGAAACAATAAACTCACATAATAAACATAATTAAAGATAAAAAAGTTAAATTTTTATTTTTTTATGTAACTGTTGAACGATGAATTGAAATTTTTTCCGACATCAATGATGGTGGTCAACGAAAATTTTGGACAATGGCGACGGTGCTGCGAGTCATGTGCTGGGAGACTTATAAATGTTTTAGCCCACACATTGTGGCTTAATTTAAATAGAATAGGTTGAGTTTGATAGTTTTTCTTAAAATTAGTATTTTTTTTTTATAACTTATGTCCAACTTAGTATTTAATTCTATTTTTTTTAGTAGAACGATATCATTAGTAGGTTAGACAATTAATTATTAGAAAAAAAGAGAGCCGGTGAGAATCAAACTCACATCAAGATACACATACATATTTATTTTCTGCTACTATGGTACATCCCTATCTGCTAGAAAGGCGACCCTAATGTGGGATGCTTTGAAAAGCAATGATTTCTTGAGATATCAGTATAGATAAGTGTTCCTTTCAGTGACTATATTGAGTATAAAATCTGGCTTTTGACAGATTTTTATGTTTTTGTCAAACAATAGATTTGTTATATTAGATATTAGATATTTGTTAACATATGTTCTTCAACTTTGTGGGTTATATGTTGTATCATGGGCTATTACAGTTTGACTGTTGCACTACTCCCATTTGGGCTAGTACTTACATTGGGTTTTGTCACAAGAACTTACATATCTTCTTCTTCTTCTTTCTTTCTTTCTTTCTTTCTTTCTTTGTTTTTTAATTTCATTATTATTAAGAGGAAGGGAGAGGTTTGAAATTATTATAATAATTTATGGTAGGGGTAGTTTCAAACTCTGGATGCATGAAGGAAAACCCAACACGCTGTTCACTAGGATGTTAGACTACATGCAGTGGTGGATTTAGGATTTGAACCTAAAGGGTCCCAATGTTAAAGGTCAAAGTTTTTTAGATAGAAACATAGTGCGATGCGCCCAAAATCAATTTCAGAGTATTCATAGAGGCATTTTATTGAACAATTGTTGGGCTTGTTATTGTCAGTCGAACCATATTGTGCATACATCAATAGATATCGACATTTGTTGAAGCAATTTGATGAGTGCTACCGAGAACATTTGTTAAGTGTTGACGACGCAACCTGACGAGTGCTGTTGAGATATGCCCAGCATGGATTACATCAAACATTTGGTAGGCGCGAAAGGGACTTGTACCACACATTTAGAGGGTCTCCAAGAATCTTCACATGATTGGGATTGGTACGGTTAGGTTACCAAAATCCTTGTGCCAGTTACCATATAAACTTTTGGTAAAGAAAAATCTAGTACCATTACCATACCAAATTTTGGTATTGTCATAAAATTCAGTTGTCATGGTATGGTAATAGTATTGTACCAATTTGGTATTCAACTATTTTTTTGGGGGGCCAAAATGTTTTTCGTTTCATTTTTTTGTCAAGCAATAGCTAGCCCACATATTAAGATGAAGCTCAATATCAGCATTAATTTTTTGATATAACCTAATATACCTATAACATACCATCAAAATTCATTATTATTTCACACACATTCACTAAGTCAAATTATTATTTTAATTGTGGTCACTCCTTCTTTACCTTGGATATCCTTGTTCTTAATCCTATCCTTTTTGTGTGCCCACACATCCAACGAAGCATTCTCATCTCTGTTACACTCACATTTTGCACGTGTTGCTTTTTGACCACCCAACATACCGTGCCATAAAGCATTGCTGACCTTATTGCCTTCATATATAAATTTTCCTTGAGCTTTAGTGGTATACGACAATTGCCACATAAACCCGATGCATTCTTCCGCTTCATCCATCCAACTTGTAATCAATGGTTGTGATCTCCATCTAATTCTCTATTATTTTGCAGGATAGGTCCAATATAACGAAAGTTTTCACTCTTTGGTACTTCCTAATCTCCAATCCTCATCCCAGTCTCATTTGGACTTTCATTCCCACTGAACTTGGCCTCATACAGTCTGTCTTTTACCTACTTAGGCAAAGACCTTTAGATTCCAACACTTCCTGCCAAATGTTAAGTTTCGCATTTACTCCCTCTTGTGTTTCATCTATGAGCACTATATCATCTGCGAAAACATACACCAAGAGATATCATTTTGAAATATGTCATGTTAACTCATCTATTTTTGCCAATGCAAAAAGGTAAAGACTTAAAGTTGAGCCTTGGTGTAATCCTATGGTTATAGGAAAGCTTCCGGTTTGCCCTTCATGAGTTCTTACTGTAGTCTTTGCTCCATCATACATATCCTTTATTGCTTGGATATATGCTATTCGTACTCATTTCTTCTCTAGAATCCTCCAAAAAATTTCTCTTGGTACTCTATCATACGTTTTTTCCATACCTATAAAGGCCATGTGAAAATCCTTTTTCATATCTCTATATCGCTTAATCAATCTTCGCAAGAGATAGATTGCCTCCATTGTCAAGCACCCTGGCATGAACTCGAATTGGTTCTATGAGACCTATGTCTATTGCCTCAGTCTATGCTCAATTACTTTCTCATAGAGCTTCATTGTATGCCTCATTAACTTAATGCCCATATATAATAGTCTTTTGCCACACGCCTACACACGTGACAATTGACTTTTTGTATTGTTTTAGTTTTATTTATTTTAGATATTATTCTTTTTTGTTATTTCAAAATGAACTTACTAACCATTTACATGATTTTTTTTAATTTTTTTTAATTATGCATATGCTTGCATGCTTCACCTTTTTTACTTTCTCTCTTACTATTATAGATAAATAATTAAATACTCAATATATAAATATTCTATATTGTACATGAATATTTTGGGTATTGGTTTTGAACACCAATACCAATCCAAATATCTTCAGTTCAGTACAATTACCGTACTATTATCATTTGACACATTATTGATACAGTATGATAGAATGGCAAAAGAATTTCACCCCTAATTATTACTTGTGCAACACTCATTAGGGGTGAACTTGTTTTATATGTCTGCAAAACCAATAGTGGAGGAAAAAGAAATACTCATAATCACTTAAGCTACAACTAAGTTGAGTGAATAGCTAAATACTTTTACCAAATGTACAACAAATTCTAAATATCGATTTAGGCCTACGAGTTGTTTACATTGTTAAAGATCGTTTTCTTCATTAGACCAAGGTCTAGGTTTGAGTCCATTTATTGGCAATCCCTTTTGGTGGACGATCTATAAAAACCAACAAGGAGTTAAGGCTCCTTGTGTAAGCTCTCAAAGAAACTTATAGTTTTCCTTTGCCCTGAGATGGGTAGCATCCTCTCTCCCCAAACTTTTTGTAACCGACAAAAAAATTTATGGAATGATCATATGGTTTGATAAAAGAAAAATAATAAGAATTTAACTTCTCTCAACACGCCCATACATCCAACAAGCTCATGGAGAAGAGGTCACTGATTGAGGCCAAGAGCACCTTTCATAGCCAGCATGCCTTGCTGCTGCTGCAGTTGTTCTGCTACTTGTCTATATTTGGCCACTTAATCCCTTTTTTTTTTTTTCTTCTGGTAAACAGGACATTCATTAACCAAGGCAAAACGCCAAAGCTACAACGAAAGTCCAAAAAGAGGACTAACCAAGGAGAAGAACAAACATTTCCTACAAAGATAGACAAAGGGTGAATAGGGGTTACAAGAACAAACATCTTTTTT